CGAGTTGAGCGCTGAGCTGGCGGTAAAGGAGCGTGAACTGGTGGTGGCCTCTGCTCGTGCCGAGGAGGTCCTCCTCCAGGTTACTAAACAGGCTAATGCCGCTCAGACCGTCAAAGCGCAGGTGCAGACTGTGAAGGACAGGGCGCAGGTTTTGGTTGATGCTATTGGTCGGGAGAAGGCCAATGCGGAGGAGAAGCTAGAGGCGGCCAAACCTGCATTACAGGAGGCAGAGGCTGCCCTTGAGACCATCAAGCCAAGTCACATCGCTACTGGTAAGTGGAACTTCTTTCACCTGCTCTAACATGGGTATAAACGTTTTCTTCATCGTGGCACAGAACAACTGCACAGAAACACTGTCAGCAGGCCTTGCTTCTTCAGTTCCAGTTCTTTTGGGGCAAATAACTTAAACATACATAAGATACATATGTCTAAAGATTTTAAAATAGCCATGTTCGCTCTTATGGTTATCATTGCTGAGGGTGGTGTTCTTGCCCACCTTTCCTGGTCTTAATTATAGTCCTTGCCCGATAAGTTCTCATACTAACTTCTTTCAACTATTTGTCTTGGTTTTGCTATTTAGCTGGGCTGTTGCCTCTAGTACCAACTTTAGAACTTAATTAGTATGATCTTTTTACTGATATGCGATGTCCTTATAAGATCAGGTACATTTTATAGAAAACCCGCACAAATAGCTCTTCTTATAGTACTCTGCTAGAAAACCCCACCTTATTTACATAGAGTACTCGAGGAGGGGGTGTCGTTTTTTTCTTGTACACAAAAGGCTTGCAATGAAAAGATTCTTTAAAGTTGTCCCAGGTATACTCAGCCAACACTGTATTTATCTGTTTATTGACTTGCTTTCTTTTAAAACCATATTTGCTATCTCCTTTATGGCATAGAGGAATGTGCCTTTACCTTGAATGTAGACCCCAAACACGAATTCTACGATGAACCGTGTTTAACCTTATTCGGCCAGCAAGAAAGCCCCTTTGAAACCGAGTATGCAATTGATAGATGACGTGATTCGTTTCGAAATGAAGGCACGTAAAAGTATTATTTTTCGGGATTTCTATACCGTACGTTAACGTTGATAAGGGCCGCGAAAACCAATCCACGCATTGTATTTATTAAGACGACATTTGTGCCCAACGCGGCTTTTGCAGGTGATCAACCATAAGTGTATTTAAAAGTCGGCATTCTAGCCTATTTCCAATATATGTGGAACATAGTGCTCCATGATCAGTATTGTAATCTAACTTAAGAAATTCTTCCTGGTTGAAAAGATGGTAAGCCTTCCTTATGAGGAGACTTTTGTCTGAGATTAATAATAAACAACTACTTCCAATTTTCAGTAGCTCGGTTTTCCTCCAGTTTTCACCTGTTTGCGGCCTTCAAAGAAAGCCCCACCGAAGACTTTTAGGACTAAGGTTAACGCGTCACGAACCTGACTACTGACTGGACTTGTAGTCTAGCATGAAATCGGCATGCGATGACCGAAATTCCACCCACGGCATTCAGGCCCTTCTAGCTCTAATAAACTGAACATATCTGTTTTTTTTAATACGCCACGTTTTAAATTATCTTCCCCCAGTCCGAAAACTTGGAAGACCACCTCACCTCATTATGCGCATAATGGACTGCGTCGCCATCCTCTTCAAAAGACCTCTGGATCCGGTCACACCAGATCCTGACTGGCCTTGTCCTAAGCCATCTTGGGGAGAGGCGTTGAAATTGATGGGCAACACCGGCTTCCTCAGTGGCCTCTTGAATTTTCCCAAGGTATGTGGCGCCATTTTATTGCAGATAAAATAATGGTGACGCTGTGGTACGCAGTCGGGTGGGTAAAATTTGCATTTCCTGCTACTAACTTCATTTAAGCAGGTGTGTAAAAAGACGTTTGGTGCAACATAGAGCCAGTCTGGACGCAAGGCATCTAAAATCATCCTATAGGAGAACGGCACAAGACCAGGGGGCTCCAGCTTAAAACGATTAATTACAAAATAATCTAGTTCTGTGTAGGGTGCTTACCACTATTTTGCTAAGCAATGCCTCCCTCCCCCTTGTGTATGCGCCATACGTTCCAAAATAACAACTTCAGCCACCGAGCTGACATCCATAAATAGTTGTTCTCGTGTTTTAACTAGTCGACTATTAAGGACAATAAAGTGGGAGAAAAAATGTTTTCGTGTCTAATCTCACTGCGTTAGCCATTGACTAGGGCCCTCAAAACGCTCAACCCAAATAAGGTTCTAGCTAGCTCACGGTAGGCGTTTATCGGGCTGCGCTAAGTCCGTGCAAGCTCATAATTACTGTCGTACAGGCCCGTGATGGATACAAACTTTCGGGGAATGTGCCGATTCCCACGATTACTCATCTTACAGAAAGGCGCCACGCCGCTGTCATGACAGCGTGCCATGGCTATCGATTTTTCGCCCTAGCTGATTGGCTCTCTGTCGCCGACACCTGCTCGTGGAGCGGACTAAAATGACCAGGTCTTTTTTTAACACTTTGACTGCGACGTGCGCCATATGTGGTACATGCAGTAATGTCC